ATACTGAATTTCCCACTAGCCACATCCATGTCATGATGTCACTGGAAACTTGCACTTTTTATGTAGTCTTTTTAAATATTCTATTTTTTTTTTTTTTTTTACAATAAACATGCTTACTTTTTAATTAGGGGAAAATGCAAAGATTAAATAATTTTAAAAGGAAAATACCTCATAATCAGGCATATCTGGACGGTTTAATAGATTTGTGTTCCTAGAACACAGAGGTGCTCATTTGGACAGTGCTTCCTATTGTCCATTGTGAGGGGTTGTCTTTAAAATTAGAGTTGATTAGAGTCTCTGGCAGCACTTTTGGAAAATGCAATCTCCCTCTACTCCCTATAAACTTAGTTCTGCCAGCTTCCTTGACAGTGGATAGGGGACAGGCAAGTGTACCATTTCCCTAATATTTCATTAAGCTCTGGTGCTCCTCAGTACATCTGCCTCTTTCATTGTACCCCCAGTGTGTGTATACTCATAAAGGCTATGCTTTTTGCAAACCAAATCATCCATACTTTTCTAACACAACAGATGCCCACCTATTTTCAAGTTGTCTCACTTCCCAAAGGTAATGTGATCAAACCATACTTACCTGCAGACACCACAACCCTGGAAGGGAATGCAAAGCATCAAGATGAGAAGAGTTTGCTCTGGTAAGGCACATGGACACTCCCATTCTAACCTGTTTAATAGGCAGACCCCCTGCCCCCATGGTTCCCATCCTGCCACTGTTTCCACAGATCTTCCACATATGGAAGATCTAAATTCAAGAAGGCAGTATATTTTTCTCTTTCAAAAAGATGATTCCAAAGTTGTTTAAATTAAAATATATAGGAAATATCTAGAAAGCTCCAGGACGAAGCAAAGGCATGAGACTTAAGAATGACATTTAACTTTTAACTAATATTTACTTTGCTCAAATCTTTATAATTTTTAATTACAATTCTTGTTGAGGTCAGTAGTATTCCCATTTTATAGATAGGAATGCTAAAGTACAGAACTACCACATATGTTAGTTGTGAGAAGTAGGATTGAAATGTTGATTATCAGCTGAAGTATTGCTTCCTTTGGTACATAACTCGTTTTTCTTCATGGTCATGTTTTGAAAAATGGGGTTTAGTAACTCAGATTTTTTTACTTAAAATATTAAATTACTTATTAAAAGAGATGTTACCAATATTAAGGACTAAAGTTCAAAATAGCACTTCACCTTAATCTCTTTCAGGTTAGTCCTTTAAGATGTGTATATTTTTTAAAGATTTTATTTATTTGACAGAGACAGTGAGAGAGGGAACACAAGCAGGGGGAGTGGGAGAGGGAGAAGCAGGCCTCCCGCAAGAGCAGGGAGCCCGATGCGGGGCTCGATCCCAGGACCCCGAGATCATGACCTGAGCCGAAGGCCACCCAGGCACCCCAGTCCTTTAAGATATTAATTACTTTGGTCTTATGTGATATAGCCAGAGGAATGTCAGCTTAACTTTAATAGTGATTCCAACAAAATAACTTTCAGCATTCCAGGTACACAAATAAGCTTATTTTTTAATGAAATTATACTAAAAATTCAGTACAAAGGGTATAAAAATGATACTCCTTAAAATACTAATAATTCATTGCATTCATAAGGGTGTTTTGGTTTGTTTTTCTGTTGTTTTTTATGGATGGTTTTTTCTTTTCTTTTTAACAATTTTCTTCAACATCCTTGTATTTAACTGCCATAGTATTTATGAGGTAGACAGGACCAGGGTTGTGGGCCTGGTCTTACAGAACTAGAAACCAGGGCTCACAGAGGATGTTGGTGTGGAGCGAGGCCTGGAGTCCAGCTCTCTGGTCACCTACAGGAGCGTTTACTCTACTGCACGTCTAGGCAGCAGTTCAGTGGTTTGACAGACTATCCCTCCAGCCTCCAAAGTGGATGCTCTAAAGACCTAGATTAGCAGGGTATTTTAGGTATAGTTAGGTTACAAGTTAGACATCTGGTGATTAGGTTCCCATTTGTGCCTGATTCATTTGAGACCAAGTACTCATTGATACACACAAGATGTCCAGTCTGTAAAATGGAAATAACCTCTTCTTCCTTAGATTGCCCAAGGACACTGCTTATGGGCCAAGTGGCAATTTGTAGCAAAGAGAAATTAGAGAGCCTACAACATGTGAAACACTGTGGACAGGCGCCATGACCCAAAGTCATCAAGCAGTTGGCAGTGGTGATGCTTGCTGACTCCCGCTTTGTCTGTCTCAGTAGAGGCCAAGACATTTTCTTTTTCTTTTTTTTTTTTTAATGTTTTATTTATTTATTCATGAAAGTCAGAGAGAGGGAGAGGCAGAGGCAGAGGGAGAAGCAGGCTCCCCGCCTAGCGGGGAGCCCGATGTGGGACTCGATCCCAGGACCCTGGGATCATGACCTGAGCCGAAGGCGGACGCTTAACCATCTGAGCCACCCAGGAGGCCAAGACATTTTCTTTAACATCTTGTCCATTCCTGAATTGTTCTGTAAGAAACAATGATTTCTCCTCTAGCCCTCTTGCTGGCAGAATGAATTTACCAGCATGATCACCAGCATGCAGCCAGAATGTGCCCCAGGAAATAAATGTAAGCTGAGGAAGTTAACAGGACAACGTTAGCATGAGGGGCTGTGCTTCTCTACTCCTTCACTCCTCACATTTTGTTTTTGCTGTTTATTGCCCTTCTTATTTTGAAATTTTCAAATTTATGGAGAAGTTAGTGGTTGTGGTGGTGGTGATAGTCAAATGAACCTGTGCATATCCTTAACGTAGATGAATGATTATTAAGATTTTGCCACATGTCTTTCATTCTATGGTGGTGGCGTGGGGGGTGGGGGGAGTGTGTGCTAAAGTATTTGAAAGTAAATTGTAAACATCATCGCATGTTATCTCATAATACTTTACTCAGTGTGTCTAAGAACAAAGACATTCTCTCATGTAATCAGTACCATCGTCGATCTAAGAAATTGAATAATAATTCCATAATATCTCATCTACAGTCCTTATCACATTTCCAGTTGTCCCCCAGATTAATTTTATAGGGTCCAGGACCTAATCGAGGTTTGCATTTGCATTTAGTTCTTAGGCCCCTTTAGTTTCTTTCAATCTCTTAGTCGCTTAATCTCTTTTAGTCTATAACACTTACCCCTGTGTTAAAAGGAGGGAAAAAAGTTTTTCAGAGAAGTTTTTTTTGAAGAGTCCAGGCTTGCTATCCTATAGAAAGTCCCACATTTTGGGTTTGTCTGTTTTTTTGTTTTTGTTTTTTTCCATCATACTTATATTCAGATAAAACTTTTTTTTTTTGCAAGAATATTACATAGATAATGTTATATAATATTTATTATGTCCTGTCAGGAGATAAATAAGATTGAGTGGTTCCATTAATGAGATGTGCTAAATTTGATCAATAGCAGATCCCTTGGGTAAGTCCAAATTTAATGTTGTAGGTTTCTTTAACTGGCCATACAGCATTGTTTCAATTTTTTTAAGCATGTATTATCAATAAGAACAATAAATATTTCTGGCTTGGAAATAATGGTCAGTAGAGAATGCTACTAAGAGTGTTTACCTTGTGTGCCCTTTATTCTTTGCAGTCAAATGCTCTACCACTGGGCTATACCCCCGCCCTTTATTCTTTGAATAAATACCCCAAAGAGCCCTTACTCTGAACATTTCCTCCTGCCTTCCTTTTTATGATTATGCTTGAAATTTTTTCCAATAAGCTGCTGGTGAGGAGCAGCTCTAGAGGGAGATAAGAATAAACATTTATGGAGGGAGAATAACAGTAGTATGAATTTCCATGTACCATGGCACTGGGCTAAACACTTTGTGTGGATTGTCTGCACAGGAACCCTATTAGGTGTAAGCAGCATTGTTTCCCCATTTTACTTAGGAAGCTTAGGCACAGAAAGATTGAGGATCTTGCCCAAAGACCCACAGCAAGTAAGTGATGGAACTAGGGTTCACACCCAGGGCTGACTAATCCTGGAGCCCATATCTTAGTTACTAAGTATGTTCTGCTACCGTATTGTGTGCCAGGTATCATACCAGACACCATCTCGTACATTTGCTTGTGTAATTCTCACATCAACCTGTAAGAAACCATCTCAATTAGATGAAGTTACTTACCCAGGGGCATATGGTATCGTTTATCCTATTTTGTGGTTCTCTCCCATGTTTCAGCCAAGATCTTTAACAGCAGAGTGGTTTATCCAGCGGGGTCCCTTTTCCTACTTCCCAGCACCCACATAAGCAGGAATCATGTGCTGGAAATGAAACCAGGTGACAGAAGCAGCTGCACAAGCAAGAGAAGCCTGATCGGGTCCACATTAACCAGATGACAGGAGCGAGAGCCTTCAGTTACAATTCGGGGACCATCAGTGAGAAATGGGATGACAGTGAACCTGAAATAAAAGTTGTTGAAATAAGACTGGTCTTCCAAGGGAAAGCATTTCCTTACCGTCTGCCCTCTCACCAGAGAGGATGCGGCAGTCTTGTTGTTTGAGTAACTTCAAACCAACGGTCAAAGCCATGAAGAAATTTCTGAAGGAAAGTGTGATTGCTTATAGTTTCTGATGCCCACTATTGATTTCTTTTTTAGAATTTTTTTCAATACCATCACTGAGTCTATTTATAATTCTAGCATAAGAAACTGAGAGAAGTGGAATGAAAGAGAGTACCATGACCACTTTTACAGGCTTTTTGTGAAGATTAAATTCACACACATGCAGTGTAGCGGGAGTGCTGACACAGAGTAGGGATTCAGTATGGAAGTTACTATTATATGATTACATCATTGCATTTTGTGTTCTCACATGATATGGTCCTGGGAACCTTACCAAATGAGGACATTTGGCCCCTCAGCTCAGGAAGACAAGCATTCCAGACACTGCCTGGTTAGTACCTAAGTTAGAGACTAGAGCTCCCCTAGGGACCCTCTCTGGTGCTGGCAGGAGGCTCCTATTGCCATGGCGTCTGTCACACTCCATCTTTCTGTTCCAGGTGGTTAGCTCAACCAATGGAGAGCTGAATGTCGATGACCCCACGGGAGCCCACTCCAATGCACCAATCACAGCTCACGCCGAGGTGGAGGTAGTCGAGGAAGCTAAGTACGTTCATCTTTCAAGGGGGCTTTTGAGTCCTGGGTTGAAAAATCTTCTCTGTCTTTTCCTTTCTATGTGCTGCTCATCTCAGACTGGATTCCTCATGCTTGTGTCCTCAGCTTTCTTCCTTTGACCATTTTATTTTTTGCATGGTACCTTAAGGCTGCTTCTGCCCTTCTTTAGCTGTGATTTCTGGGAAGACCATCACATTTTTCTAGTCCACATGGGGCAAAAGCCCTAGTGAACTGAAAGAATCATGGTATAAGAGGTAAAACGGATAGTAGTCATGAGCCTCTTGGGTCCCCTGAAACTTCTTGCTCCCTCTGGGATACAAAGAAAAATCTGCTTATCTTAAATCATGGGCCATACTGAACAGCATTTGATTTTTGGTTCTTGGCTTAAGAACTCTGCATGAGTCCTGGAGCCAAGGGTTTTAGGGCCATTGTGTTCTCACTTAAATGATTCTGGACTCAGAGAGACTCTGATAAGTCAGGCAAGATAGTTTCTACACCTGTGAGGAAGAGTCTTGGGAGGAGAGGAAATCACCCTATCGGGGAGGGGTGAGTCCATTCCCTTTTCTGCTCCTCTTGCCTGTGAATGTGTTGCCCTACCCGTACCACCAGCTCTTGGTGCTCTCTGCGTGGCATGTGGTTAAACTCTTAGCATATGGGGTAGAAGGGGGAAGGGCTGCCAGTTCTGCTGCAACAGCAGCATTGCTATCACTTGTTTCCCTTTTTCCCCATCCCAAATTCCAATCCAGACTTAAACTCCAAGAAGACATGAGGTAGGGGGAGAGAAGTCCTTTACAAACCAGTAACTGCTGCCAAGCCTGATATGAATGACCTTTCTTATAAACCCTTTGAGAATATTCAGGCTATCCCAGTATCTTGTTCTCAGAAGCAGACAACATACGAATAGTGACACTGTGTCCCAGGTGCTCTCTTGGGCCCCCACACGGCCTCAGTATCCGCCAGAACGTGCTTACACCTCTGGGTGTGAGGTGGTGGGAGGCCAGTCAAGACCTGCATTCTTTCTTCCAGCTACACTTTGCATGCTTGTCTCCTGCCCATCTGTATGATCAGCTCACTTTGCTTCCAAGAGGTCCTTGCCTTGGAAAGCCAGGATTTGGGGATTCCTACCCAGGAGATAAAAAGCAACTCAAGGATGACTTGGACTCTCTCTTGTCAAGTCCCTGCTGACCGTAGGCAGCTTCAGATGCTCCTCTTCTGGTTTCTATAAGGCCCTGATAAGTAAGGAAGGCAGGGGGAGTTTTTAATGCCGGGAAGAGACCATTTTTAGTAAGGAAACATGCTCTCTGTTCTCAGAGACTTTGGAGCTTTTAATGGTACTCTCAGTTTTTCAGCTTTCGTGACAAAACTTCATTCTCCCAAATAAAGAGTATAGTACTCCTTATCCTCTGGGTTCTCAACCTTGGCTGCACTTTGGAATCACCTGGGGCGTGTTAGAAGGTATATATCTGAATCCTGGCCCCAGAGATTCTGATTTTATCTGGGGTTATGGCCTGAGCATCAGGAAATTTTAAAGTTCAGATAATTCGAATGTGTGGCCAAGGTTGGGAATCAGGGCTCAGGGCACTAAGCATGTTCTGGTTTAAACATTGTCTGGGCTTGAAAGATGACTGTCCCCATTCCCACCCCACCTCACTCCCAGTTCATGTGGCTATTACTTTGAAGGCTAAGCATTTAGGTCTGGATTTAATAGTGTACTTTGAATACCAAGATTGAATGGGCTTTCATCTTATAGTATGTCTTATACAGGTTTATCTTTTGAACCCATTCTCTCACTTCATTTTGGTAAATGTGTACACTGATTGTGTATGTGAGTGTGGTGTCTGTGTCCTGTGTGTAAAATATGGGGCCGTTCACACAAAGAGATTGCAATGTGGTGAATTCTGTTCTGGTATATTCTAAACTCTAGGACATGAAGAGCATTTAAAGTCTCCCCATTTAGTGAAAAGGACTACTGGGCCTCTTTGCCGCCTGTTCCAGGTTTGGGCCTTCTGAAATGTGTGGAAACCAGAGGGGAGCAGTTGTATTTGCCCAAATGTCTTCCAAAAGCTCAAAGCTTAGGGCATTTTGTGTGCTGATTCCCCTAGTAATCTCATGAGCTACCAATCCGTCTTGCCCAGGGAACTCTCAGCACAGCCGTGTGTATCTCTTCTTGGCTGTCTCTGTGTTTTGGAGGGAGGGAGAGGTAGCCATGAATCCACCTGCTCTGCCATTTTCATGGGGAGAAGTCACAGCTAGAGAAGCATGAGACGTCCCAAACAACCCTCATTGCACGCAGCTGTGATGCCCTTTGTCCATGCAGCCTGCTTGTGGGAAAAAGAGGCTGTTGCCTATGTTAAGATTCAAGCAGGGACTGGGGAGATACATGAAACCTTCGCTTCCAAGCTTTTGAAAAAGTTTAGGTTCCTCACCCAGCTTGTTTTCGTAAAGGAGGAGAGAGATAACAGGGTCTTGGTTTTTGTTCTGTACACGAAACGAACATCTAACTGCCCTTTTCTTCTGCTTAGGACCCATGTCCTTGTTTAAATATGATTGGAAGGGGGTGGTGAGGCAAGGCAGCTTTTTGGTTGATTTTTGTTATGGTAAAAATAGGAGTTCTTGGTTATCCACCGACTTTAGCTATAACTTAGCAGTTTCTCCTGGGAATTAACAAGAATGGGATGTAGGCCCTTCTCTGGGCAGTTTTACCTTAGTCCAGAGCAGTGACCCTTCTTGCTCTGCTTCAGCTCCTACTAAAATAAAGTGTTGCTGACGCCTTCTCCCCGCCCAGAGGAAGAGCTAACTACCAGCTGCTTTGGTCAGGCATGTCGGATTTATAGAAAGGCTAGCGACTTCTCTTTCCCTCAGAATGGTCAGGAGGTCGGCTTTGCATCGTACAGTAAGACTTTGTGTGGGAACCAAAATGGCTCACTTGGTGCTTGATTGAATTCTTACAGGCAGGATCGTTTCCTCTTTCTCCTGCTACCTTCCTGGAAATTGCCCAGGAAAACCCACTCTGGGGCTCCCACCAACTCTTTCTGTTTTACCTTTCCCCTCACTGAGATGTCCCGCTCCCTCCTGGATGCTTCTGTCAGGCGCCTGCCCCCTCCACCTTAGTGTGGGGGCCAAGTGGCCTGGGTGTACTCACCCTACCTTGACAGAGGAAGAAACGAAACGCAGACACATACTGCATGTTTGCATGGCTCACAGGGAGTCGCTTCCGCCTCACCTCTGTGGACTAATCTGTCTCTCTTTCTCTCTTCCTTTCTGTGTTTTTCTCTTTACACACTCTGTAGCTGCCTGAAAATGCTCAACCTGTGGTGAGTCCCTCTCTCCAGTCCACATGCTAGGGGAGCGGACCAGACTAGGCTGGGATTGGCACAACCAAACAACATGCCTTAGGAACACTCAGTGGCTTCCATACGCTGCCTTGTGCCATAACCACCCAGACTGGGGAACTAGATCCACAAGGTGGGGATGGGGCAGGCCTACACCCAGGAATTAATCTGTTCCTTCTTTCCTTTCAAACCCATCTCATCGCTGTCTCCTCCTGTTGAAACAACATCCCACAGTATCCAAAATTCCCTTTCTATGTTTAGCTGAGTGAATTGTCTCCCAAATTAATAGGCCAGAGATGATCAGACAGAGAGGGACAAGAGCGGGACGACAAGGTTACTCTATCAGCTGTTTAGATTATCATTCACAATGCCAAGGGCAGTTGTTGCCAGTTAATCTCACATTCTGTGGCTTGGTCTCTCACCTGAAAATTGGCAGCTTTGGGAAAAATCCGTGACTTTTCTTTTTGATTCAGCTGGTTCTTTCATCTATAGAATGAGTCTCTCAAAAGGAGCTCCTTCTTGGGGGGAGAAATGGACATTTTGTTCTTGTTTTGGGGGGTTTTTTTGTTTGTTTTTTGTTTATTGTCTTTTTTTTTTTTTTTCCTATCAGAGTACATTCCGTGGGTCAGGGGCTTACTCAGCTAATGAGTTATTGGAGCCTGTCTTTTCTGCTCCTGGAAAAGGTTCATTGAATGCATTCTTAGGAACAACAGGAGCTACGTAGGAGGGGAAGCCCTAGAGAATCCACATTCAGTGAGGCACATTCTTGCTACAAGAAAGAGCCCCCTCGCCAGCTTGCTTCTCAGCTGATGCCTGTGACCTTCCAGGTACTCCTGACCTAGTTGGTCTGTTGCAGTCTGGAATGAGAACTCCCCCACATCGTCTGCATGCATGGGGTCATGTTCTACATGGTGATAACAGCCTGCCGGGTTCTGTGATCACCTTGTTTCTGTTTGTCTTCAGGGACTGGGTTGTACACCAGTTTCTGAACCCCAGCGGTCTAAGCCAAGTTGCCTACAGGGTTTCTCCAGGGACAGGGCTATGTGGAAGATAACAAATGGGTTTTATGGAAATAGAATTTGTAGCCTTATGGTACTGAGGAGTACATTTGGCCTGTTTATCTAGCAAACATGTCTGTGTAAATCTGACATTGTCATAGTCTCTGTTTTCCTGTGAGATGTCAGTCGCATAATCCTGACTGCAAATACAGGGCCTGCTGTGTGCTCATGCAACTCTGCTTGGAACTCTAGGAGGTTCCCCTAGAGCTTAGGTACCATCTGGCTTATGTATTCCAAAAAGCTTAGGTGCCATCTAGCTGTTGTAGAGCCAAGACATATATACTTGAAAGGACAAGTAGTTCTCCAGGACACTTGTTATTACCCCCCAAGAGGTCACTGTGGACAGGAATGGTCAAGAAAGGCTTCACGGATATGGTGGGGCTTGAGCCAGGTATTAGAGCAAGGGAAGAATGTAAAAGTACACTCAAGAAGAGAAGCGTAGCAAAGGGATAGCTGAAGGGGAGAGGGCTGAGACGTAGCAAGAGAGCAGTGTGGGCAAGGTAATGGCTCACAATTCTGGGCAAAGAGCACGTGGTAGGGAGCTCACAGGTCTGGGCAAAGAGCACGTGGTGGCTTGTGAGTAGGGTGACTGGATTGATTCTGATTCCAGCATGTTAAGAACTTCTGGTCATCCAATCAGAGAATCGACTGGAAGAAAACCTACAACACAAGAAGGGTTCATCATCACTCACCTTCCTTCTCTTCGGAGAGTAAGACATCTGTATGGAGTTAGTCAATGGGCTTGGTCTGGGGTGTGGGGCCTGTTTCCTCGTGCCTAGAAGTATGAGAGGCTTCCGCTCCTGCTGAAGTGTTCCATACTGTAACTAGCAAAAACTCCTCCAGGCCTCAGAACCGCAGCTCCCACTCCCCTCCAGTCAGGTGAATTCGGCATGGCACATCAGGTTATGATGTGCTTGCAAGCAGACGTTAATTCTTAGGACTTGCCTTGAAGGAGGTAAAATAGTATAATTTGAAATGGACCAAAATAGTATTTCAGACTTCATTGTGATTGCTCTTATTAAAAACACAAAATCCTCATTTTAGTATCCTCCAAAAAAAAGAAGAATAGAAATTGACTTAAATGTTAGTGATGTCTCTGAAAATCATGGTTAACAGGGAGCAGGTAACTCCACTGAAATACTGGTGCTCCCATGAGATTTAATTTCCCTTGTTTAATATTAATTTCAGGACTTTCAACTTGGAAATGTCCATTTTCTAAAACATATATAATAGAAAAAAGACCATTTTTTTTTTCCCTTGAAGTCTTCTCCAGGGAGAAGACGATCTTAAACAATCAAAAGCATTGGTTATTTTTATTTAAAAGAGTTTATTCAGTCTCCAAATACACATGCCACTTTGTTTAGTGACTATATTCACACCCATTAATAGTATTTCATGGGGCACCTGGCTGGCTCAGTCAGAATGTGGCTCTTGATCATGGGGTCATGAGTTTGAGCCCCCTGTTGGGGGTAGAGATTACATAAATAAATAAACTTAAAAAAAATAGTATTTCACAAAAGTCATTGATATCCTCAGAAAAATCTTTTTTAAGACCCCCTTAAGAAGCTCCTGTTTCCAAAATTTTCATGTTTGATACATCTTGATACAGTTAAAAGTTATCATTACCTGTATAAATGTCTGTCTCTGCATTCTGAGAGACCTCCAAATTTTTAATAATCTGTCCATTGGGTGTCTAAATACCAAGGGGTCAGACTGAAAAAAGGAGAGAATCTTAGCTACAGTGGAGAATTTGGGGACATGGGAAGTAAGCAACAGTTTTTTATTTTCATATGAATAGCCCTGGCATTAAACCCGGAGGGATTTAAGCAAGAGAAGCAGATAGAGTTTTCTCTGAAAAGCTTTCCTTTCAAGGGTCAAGTTTGCAGCCTGACTCCCCTCCACCATCTAGCATCTTTGACTCATCCACACCTTCTGGCGCTCACATCCTCATTTCCAACGTGTCAGCTTCCTGGGAAGGACCTCTTTCCTGCACCAGCCACGCCACTGCCTTCATCACCCCCTTCTGTAGTTCGTCACTGTCGCAGCGAGAGCTGCTCCCCATTCCAGAGACAGGAGTAAGGAGGGGTGCTTGGGCTCAGGGCTGTTGCCCAGGGAGCAGCACGTGGAGCGCGGGTGAGGGGAGTAGGCCCTGACCTCCACCCTACACAAGGGCCGGTCCTCTAACCCTGTCGGGCCCAGCAGCGGCAGGCTCAGTAGCTAAGCTGAGGACCCTGCAGCCATGCGCTTGCCAATGGTCAGCTTCCTGGGCTTTGGCACCGGTCCCCTCCAAACCAAAAGTGGGCTGTGCCGATTTCAGTCAGGGGATCTGGGCTCACTGTTCTTACAAGATTCGGGGTTCCACCTGCCTGCTCTGGGTAGCTGGGTGGGGTGGGGATGGGGATGTGGGCTGGAAAGAATCCTTAATGCTTCGTTGGCGGCATCATGAGCTTCTGCTAGAATTCCAATCATATTTTGTGAGGGATTTAGCTCCATACCTGCCGGCTACTGAAGCAGCCTTCAGTCATTTTGCTCTCTGTCTCAAGGGGCCGGCAATGCAGGCTAGTCTCAGGCAGCTTTGAGGACCCCCCAGCCTTGGTTTTAGATAGAGATGAGCTATGTGGGCTGAGTGGGAGACTGGGAAACAAGCCTTCTTCCTCCTTCTTCCAAAGATGCCTGTTTTGGCCCTGCCTAGCCTGCAGCCTTTTGATGATCAGGTTTGGTAGCTGCAGATTGAAATGAAGCAGCTATTGCCTTTGGCTTTCCTGGCAGACACTGCCCACTGCTTCCAGTGTGTGCGCTAAAGACGGGGGTGGCCCTGTGGGTGGGTGCCAGGGGGACAATCCACCCCCCCAGCCCCCACAGTCAGCAGAAGCAGGCAGAAGCTGTTCGAAGATGCAGGCCTCCCGCACTGACTTGCCATGTTACTTGTGCTCCAGGTGCTGTTGTTTCTTCAAGAGGAAAAGGAAGAAGACTGCCCAGCGCCACAAGTGACCAGTGCCTCCCAGGAGTCCTCAGGCCCTCGATTGCACCTGCAGCTCCTGCCATTTTTCACTGGAAGGGACTCCTCTGTGGGGGAGGGTGGAGATCCAAACCAAAAAGAAGAAAACAGAGGCCCCCAGAAGGAGCCAGTGTGGGCAGCCAGGGCCCGGGGGCGGGGGGGGGGCTGGTCAGTGGCCACCGCCACCTGCCTAAAGCTCTGAGCAGGTCCCAGAGCGGCGGCCCGTCCACTGCTTGCCCCTGCGGCTGCCTGGTTGACTCTCCTTCCTATTGTTTACAGTGAAGGTGTCATTCACAAAAACTCAAGGACTACTATGCTCTTCCCTCGTGGTAGTTTACTCCTGGTTCTTGCCCCACCCTCAACCCTCTCCAGCATAAAAGCTAGTGCATTAAAGGCTATGTCTGCTGAAGGAACTCCAGAGGGTGGGGGTGTGGCCAAGAAGGCAAGGGGAAGATGGCAGGCCTGGGCGGGAGAAGAACCTTCTCCAACTACCAGGTGTGCCTGGCAGTAAGGCTCCCTCCTCCTCTGTGCCTGTGCAGCCTCCATCCCCAGCTGGCCACGGGGTGCAGGTTCCTCCCTCCCTCCCTTCTTCCTGTGAAGTTACACTGTCGGACACAAGCTGTGAGAAATCTGCAGTCTACTGTCCCCGCGTGTTGGCATTCTTCGCTCTCTTGACAAGCGAACTCTGTTCTCCAGACGGTAGTAGGACAATGCAAATTGTTCTGATCAAAGGAAAAAAAACTGACTTTATTGCACTTTTAGTTGTTTTTTGTTTTGTTTTGTTTTTTAACAAAAAACACAGCAGATGCATATTGTGTCTGGTTATATCGGGAGTTTTACTTTTTTCTGTTTTGAGGGGGTTGGGGCCAGCCAAGCCATTCAGAGAGAACATGGGTCCAGAGGACATTCTCAGTGGAAAAAGTTGGGTCTGCAGCACCCAGAAGAGAAGAAGCCAAACTCTGTGTCATTCTGAGTAAACACTCAGGTTGGCAAGGAAACATACTTGAATTTTCCTCATCTTCTCAACTGCTGAAGAATGTCCCTCCCAGAGCCTCTTGACCTCATCAGCCTACAGTTTGGACTGCCTTGCTCTCCAGCACATGGGATAAGCCAGACTGTGACCGGGAGATGTTTGACAAAAAAATTGGAAATAATCGGTTTCCTCCACTGCCAGGGACTTCCAACTAGATAGCCATGTGACTTCCTTAGTGACTTGGGGGACAAAATTCATGATGAAAGAGCCACCACCATATTGCCACTAGTGGACAAGAAGAGGAGGAAAGTGAGCCTGCCTTCCAACTGCCAGAAGAACCTCAGGATTTGGCATCATAGGGCCAGTAAATAAAATCAGTGTGTACTGTCTGCCCCAGTAGCTGAGTGATAGCATTTGGTCTGGCCTGCCTTACCAGAAACCAAGCACCTGCAGATCTTCTCCCAGTAGGTCCACAGCAGCAGGGTCCAGACTGAGCATGTGGAGCTGTCGTGAACAGGAGGATAAGATTGGTTGGTGCTGGAAAATTCCAGGGGAAAGGATATTGAAATGAAAGGTCTGAAATTATTTTCTCAATTGGATGTAGACTCCTTCCAAATAAGATGGCCGCATATCGAGAGCATGTTTCCCCAGTCCACAATTTGCCTTCCCATGTGGGATGGTCACCTAACCTACTACCATGAAGGGTCTTGATTCTTCATTCACTGCTTGGAAAGTCATCAATGTATGGAGTTAATCTTATTGTGCTCAATTTTCATTTGAGCTCAGTGGCTTATGCAAACTGACCTCATTCCAGATGTGATAGAGGAGAAAGAATCACTTACGTCAGGGAACAAGGCCTTGTGTCTGGGAGTAGAGAGAGCTAACCATGGAGGACCAGTGGCTGGTGACTGAGTCTGGTTGTTTTGGGAACACAAATCATTTGCCTCTGGCTTGAGGTAGTGGGCCATCTTTTGGACTGGAGGATGTGGGGATACTTTCCGGTAGTTGGCATGTCTTGACAAGTCCCTTGATGTATCTCACATGGAGCAGAAATAGCAGCAGTTGCATGGATCAGAGTTAACTGGACTTCAACTGTTCCATTGGGCCTTGGCTAGGAAGTATCACTATATTGGCTTCAGACCTGCTTAGCTCATGTGTAGATTGTAATCTTTCATTTCTTTAAAAGAAAATTTCCTGTATACAAAACAGAGTGGCTGGGCGACACAGTGTCACATCCCTTTTCCACAAGGATTTTGAATATTGCTTCCTCGATATTACCTAGTGGTTAAGGCACCATCATAGAAACTTATTTCTCAGATGGCACTTGGGCAACTCAAACTTGCTTGTGTAGAAACTTTAACTTCCTTATACCTTGTCTAGAAAAAGCTTTGTCTCTCAAAGGAGGGCAAGGGGAAAATGGTGACAAAGCCTCTAGCATCCTGGCACTCCATACCCACTAAGTGCCTCCCCACCTCTGCTTCCACAAAAAAGCAAAGGCAGTGACCAGCTTGGCTCAGGGCAGGTCCCCCTGCAGCTGGGTTTGTGACTTTTTTTGGTCTTAAATGTTTTTAAAGGCTAGCTCTTGAGGGGTTTAAACCTAAGCAGTTATGGGGGTCCTTCCTAATGCACTGTTCTTTCTTTCCCCCCCACAAATCTCTTTACTAGGTGTTTGATTTTCATAACAAAGGGTCATGGTGATTCTTCCAAGGCCATTAGCACTCCAAGGTGGTCCCAGACCCCTGAGAGATTCTATTGTGATCTTCCTGAAAATTAAAAAGTAAATAAAAAAGACTACCTAAGGAATAATTTGGCCATCAGTACCATCCCCGCCAGCACATCAGGGCTCCCCGCCTCAAGCCGCTTGCTGTAGTTGCTTAGCGCTGTGCCTCAGCCAGGCCCCTGAGGCTGGGCACTCCCTCCACCCACCAGCCACCCCAGTTCACTCACTGCAGTTTTTTGATCTTTCTCCATTTCACAACATGGTGCCTAGGGATCTTTTTCTTTGGGATTGATGCAATTGCTTCTGAGTTAGCAGTAAGTACTAACAGCATCTGTTCATTGAAAAAAAACCCTTAATATATGCCCTCAGGAGTTCTCCTGAGCCCTGCGCCCCTCTGGCATTGCATCCTGAGCAGATTGAGGCATAAACCGTCCTTCTCGTATACCAGAGGATGACGTGTGTCTGCGCAGTCAGGCCTTGTAAGGATTGACCACTTGCCACACACACCCTGCCATTTCCCAGGGATCTCACTCTGGACTCCTCTGCAAGGGAGGGCAGTGTTCCAGCAGCTCCTGTGCTCTCGTGACCGCCTTCATGAACATTGCTGCACTGGGTCTGTCTAGGAGTAAACAGGGTCTAAGAAGATACAAGTAAGGGACTAGGCTGACCTCCAGTTAAAGCTCCAATTCACTCTGGAACACGGGGGCAACAGGAGACGGCAGGATCCTGGGGTTTTCATAGTGGTGTTGATTTGCCTGTTTATGTCCATGAACTGTGGGTACAAAGAAACAGCCCCTGCTGGCAGCCGGAAGAGGATCCATCACCTCGATATCCCAACTTGAACGTTCACTGAAAGTGTGCACTGATGGTGCATATTCAGTGTTGATTCTCAGTGTGAGTAACCATCTTTAAGGTCAGAAATATGCAGTGATGGTAATGTCTGTCGGAGTGGTTACTAAAGATCATAGCCTTAACTTTTTTGTATGCAAAAGATAGAACTTATTCCCCTGCTCAGTGAGCAAGCATGGCCTGTGTTTCTCAAAAACAAGTTCTTCCATGGCAGCCCAGAAAGCATCGCAAAGGAACTTACTCTTCTGATGCATCTCTTCCGATTTCACCTGCCTCCTGTGTGTCCCAGTCACCTCTTCCATTTTCATATTTAAACCAGTTCTGCATCCCCAGTGAGTTGCCCTGACAATGTCGTCTCCAGTGTCAGCTGCATTAGGGCTGGAGTCCCTCGGATTGGGAGCTTGCAGCACCACCCGGCCAACATTGCCTTTGCCAGTCCACTGCCACCATCCCCGCCATTGCCCTAAGGTGCGCAAATGAGTCCCAACAACCGTTAGAGAGCCAGCGTGATGAGGCACCCCATCCGGATTGGCCATCTGAGCAACAGGCACTGTCTCTGAGGTTCTCGCTTTTGCCAACTCTAGGCCTCCGGGAAAGCCCTGTCTAGAGATTGATGGCCAGGGACTCCCAGTCTTCCCTATGATGGGTCAGCAGGAATCGAAATGAGATTCCTATGGTTTTGTCTTGTTTGGGGGAGGGGGGAGGGGGGAGAGGGAGGGGTGGCTTTGTTTCTGAATAAGAAAAGGAGGAAACCACAGCCCTTGTGAGGGTTTGCAGAGTTTTGAGCAGTTTTTAGCCACAAATAAAGAATCTTGGAAGTCTTCGATCAATTAAGCAGTCTTAAAAACATGTTTCTCATAACTCCTTTTGCAGGTGACTGAGTGCAAAAGAATAGGTTTCTCCATTGTATTCAAAATAGTAAGTAGGTTCCCTGGATATAGACAGTAGTAGTTGACACATTTCCTCAAAAAGCAACCAGGACGTCCACTCCAGTATTTGTAGATCAGCTTACAAAGGAAAAAGTGAACGTGTACTCCGTATGTTTTTAGTTTCGTTACCAAACTTGATGTTCTAAAGAAACCTCAGTTCTGTGGACAGAATTTCTTTTGTTACTTTCCTCCTCTTTCTCTTCACAATCATATTTCCAGTGCCATCACCACCTTCAGAGTCTCAGCAGAGGGTTATCCATGGTAATAAGTGGGGGTGCCGTGCACTCATCCCAGTAACACACGCAAGAGGACAGCTGTCCCGACTGCCTCTTCCCTGCAAACCCCCTCTTTCAGGGCAGGTGAGACATTTCCAGTATTCCTCTTCATGAGCTCCAGACCAAATCCCAGGCCAGCCCTTGCACCGAAAGCTTTTTTTTAAGAGGCTTGTCAATCTGTTAGGAATGTCTCAGGAGAGAAGCGCCATTTCTTTGGGGGGAAATAGATTTACAGATGGGTATGTGTGGTTGCACGTGTATGCCTGTGTGTGCGTGTGCGCTCGGGCATGTTCTCATCTGTGCATTTCACTTCCATCTGTGCATTTCACTTCCATAAAGACAGCCCAGGCTGCTGGGACCACGTGTTACTGAATATTCTCAGAAATAAACAAGTAACAAGTGAGCTTCTCAAATTAGTGTCACAGCAAGCTGGCTCTAGGAATGAGCCCCATTTATCGAGCAGAAGAGTAAACAGAAAAGATAGAGATGAAACCAAAAATATAACCACCCCAATGGAAAATAATGTTGATTCATCAATTCCCATTGGATATATTACATGCTCTAATTTATTATATTATTTTTTGTTTGTTTCTTTAATCTTTGCCCATTGTACTTTTAAAAAGATGTTGGGATGTTGATTGCAATTTTTTTAAGACTAGATGATGTATAAATCAGCTGTGGAAATCAGTTTTAATTGCTGTGTGGATGTGTCTGATTATTGTTAAATGCCTTTTTTTTTTTTTTTTTTACTTTTTATTTTAGATATGTGATGTTGTTTCATAAACCCTGGCACTGGTCGCAAAGCTCAGCTGTGAAAAATGAAACGTGTAGTATTTTTAAACATGAATGTCAATTTCAAGTGTATTTGAAATGGTTCCTCCGGGAGAGAGATTTGTACACCATTAGGAGAAACTCCTCTGCAGAGGAAGTAGCCTTTTTTGGAAAAAATGGAAAATGGGTCTTGATATGTTATCTCAGAGTAGCCCATTTCCTAGGGCACCATGGAAAACACAAATGTGATCTTTAAGTATACCTCTTCCCCAATTTGGGGAAGAAAGGACTCAG